AAATGTTGCTTCGTGGTTAAATATTTGCTGTAAGTAAATGAATACATATTAATATGCATGTCGAATAAAATGTAGAACAGTTGGATAGACATATGATTTTTTTTTTTAAATACTAGTAGCAATTATATATGTAAATAAAACGAGTCATTTTTAAATTAAGCGTGACATTTCTCCTTAAGGTGTATTTCCTGCAAAGGTCATCATATCGATCATAAATCATGTAAAAAGATTTCAAACGAGATTGTTGACATTCTTTTTTCATTAACTTGTTTGTCAATAGCTTGTTTCGTTTAGAACATGTTAATTTATAAAGCATGTTCTTACGTATCGAATCAACTGCAATTTGCCTCCCTATCGCGAACTGCGAGCTTTCAACATTCATCTGATACAATTCATCCATTCTGACAAAGTGTCAATGTGTTATTTTTTCATACTTGGCCCCTCTACTTTTACAAAAAGATATATCTATTAATTAAGTACGTGTACAGGACTGACAAACGGAGGGTTAACAATAAGTAAAATTGATATCCATTTTGTCTGAAAGACAAGTTCAAGTTCAAGTTCATTTTATTCACCCAAACCAAGATTGGTACATGGGGTTCAAATAACATATATACAAAATATATACAAACTGGTCAGAGGTACATAATTTCTACATAACAAAAAGGTAACATTTAAATAAAGGAGGAAAGAGTTCGATAAAATGAGAAGAAAAATATATCAAGGAGGAGAGACAGCATCGTAAATTTTTAAAATAAACATGCATAACTGTTTCAACATTTTCTCGCTTTCTCGCTTTTGTTTGACATTAGTTCCATAAATTTGATAACATTTGGTCTGTGTGAATAATAATAACCCAGGTAATTTTTTCTAATATTAGCTAAGGTTTTACATTCTAATAGATAATGAAATTCCTCAGCAGTTTGAGTACTGTTACAAAGTTTACATATTCTATCACACAGTGTATACAATGCCATCTTCCATTTTCTATCGGTAAATTATGATTTGCAGTACGAAATTTTATGAATATCTTTCTAAATTTAGGAGATAACTTATCAACATAACGTTCGAATCCAAAGTTTTGTTTAAATATTTTGTAGATCTGTCCTTTTGAAGAGTTATTTACGTCACTAGACCACTTTTGGATAAATTGATCTTGTAACATTTGTTCCACAGTGGCATGAGTCCATTTACAATTCATATTGACAGCCTGTTCGTACCATACATTTGATAAACCACACATATTACATATTTTCTGTATACAATCTAACCATGGGTTTGTTAAGTTTCCATCACAATACTGTTTAAACATATGCTTGTATAAAACATTTACAATTTTATTTGGTGGGCCGGAAAAAAGCTTTGCCCAATAAGAAATCATTCTACAATACACCGAGATATACAAAGGAAAGCGACCTGTTTCATCATAGACCATGTATGATGGCGTGGAACTTTTCAAATTAAATAATACTTTAAAAACTTCAGATGCAAACGTTCAATAATATCAAGATCTTCATAGCCCCATATTTCAGAACCATATAGTAAGACCGGTACTACAACTCTATCAAAAAGATCAAATTGACAGTCAACTGGTAACTAAATTGCCTAATTTTTCTTATAATGCCATACATCGCTTTTTGTGCTTGATCATATAAATGTTTTTTTTTTTTTTTTTTGTTTTACAGAAGGAACCTGAGCGTGAAAAAACAACGCCTAAATATTTAAATTCTCTAACATTTTCAATAACTAAATGATCGTAATAAATTTTCTTTTTAACATAGGACCCTTTGAAAATACAAGAATCTTCGTCTTTTCCACATTCACTTTTAACTTCCATTGTAAACAATATTTTTGGAATACATTAGTTGCATGTTGTAATTTGTCGGCTGATTCAGCCATAATAACAGTATCATCCGCGTAAAAAAGAAAAGAACCAACAATTTAAAATACATCAATAATTCATGCTCAATAGATCTTGAAATACTTTGCAAGCCTATAATATTCTCATTCAATAAAAAATCTTCAAGGTCATTAATATACATTGAAAATAGGAATGGTGAAAGATTTTCTCCCTGCCTCACTCCAACATTACAGCTAAAAAATTCTGTGGACATTCCATTAATTTTTATCCTAGATTTAACACCTTTGTACATGTTTTGGATATATTTAAAACCCTACACGTACATGTACGAGATATTTAATTACTTTAATTGGCCAACGGGATGTAACCAGTTGGACTTTGATTGACTATATTTATTACTTATTTGCTTTAGCTTTACTTGTACAATAAATCACCCATGACAACTGTTACGTGGTTTTGTTGATACTGAGTAATGAGTTTAAAATATGAATTTTATAAATTATATCCAAGTGCTTGAAAAAGGGAGGCTGCCACTGACACTGTTCGACCCAGCAAATCTGTTTTCAATACTATTTTGCTAACATTTGAAGAGTTGTATCTGATACTCTCTGAGCAAGTACAGTAAAGGTCTGTAAATCGTAAAGCTTTTTTGCCTTATTGCCAATAGTTTATCCAACCTCTTTCAAAGAATAAAATGCATTCAATTTAAAGAGTTACTAAAAAAAATATATAGAATCAATCTGAGAGGGTTGTTCGGAAAGTTTGTGAACGATGTCAATCTTCGTTATATTACTCACTAGAAATGTAAAATAAGCAATATTGTAATAAATATGTAATTTTTTACGTCACAATATAATATGTAAAAATATTTGTTTTGTTGATGTGTGAAGTTTCATTCCATTCGATTCAACAAAAATCAATTTACTTCATTTTAAAATCATTATATTTTGTACCCGCGGAATTTCTAAAAAAAAAAAAAAAAAAAAAAAAGATTTTCATTTCTCTCATTACTTAACTCCGCTTTCATAGGAAAAGCAAGGCTGAAGCGCCTGTATATGTCTCTCCTTGACGTTTCAACTTTTTGGTTGTTAATTTCATATCTTTTGACAAAAGTTTGTATCATCTGTGCTTAAAGTCTGCATATATAATTCTGGCAAAAAACAATCAATTTTTCACCATCAATGTCAATGGATGGGGATGGTTTGGTAACTATGTGATCTTTAGAATTTAAGGAATGTAGTCCTTTCGCAAACATATATGAACAACATTGATCCAAAACTATATACAAATACGCGCAATAGCAATATATTCTTTACAGCTTTTGCCTTTAAGGTTAATGTACATGTATACCTCCATCTCTCGAACAATTCACAAACATAATAAAAAGAGATATAAATATGTTTTCTTTATTAAAGCGCAGCATCACCCACAAATTACATTTATGAAAATCCTATACAATTATTAACTAAAATTTACATGAAGAGTTAAGTCCATGTTCACTAAAAAATTCACAAAGCATATATATGGCAGTAATAAATATTTAATTTACATCCTTAAATTAATTTATGTAAAACATCTGACACGGCAGACCCATGCTAGCAATTAAGTTTCTTAATCGCAAAATTTCTTATCCGTTAGATTAAAGCAATTCTCGAAGATCTTTCTGTAAATTGGTATGATTTATATTCTCGGCCGTCGGATGCTAAGATATGCGCGCGGGTTCTCACGCCTTTCACCATTCCCTCACAGAACCTTGTCAGTGAACGCGCAAGCAAAAATTCTGCTGTAATTTTAATTGTTGATCTCTTCATATCTATTCAATTGGGATAGAAAGGTATGGATTTTAATTTTTGATGTTTATTTTCCTCGGCATGTTGGATCCCTATGTTCTTGAATTTTTTTAATGTGGAACAGAACTAGCTTTTTGGTGAAAGCATATATTTCAAAACAATGGTATCTATTCTGATTGCGGGATCTTCTCATGTAAAAGATTACAATCGTATATCCGAGAACATTGTGAATATGCTAACTTCAATTTATCCGCAACGGCGATTAATTATTTTGGAATAAGTGGTGGGAAATTATCATGTTCCGCTCATATAAATATGTTAGAAAGGAAAATCGCTGATCTACGTCCAGGTGTACTCATTTTACATATAGGAGGAAATGATGTTGACAATGGAACAGCAGATGAATCGTTTGTGAGGGAATTAAGCCTGCGCCTCTTATGCATCGCAGAAACTTTCGCATCACGCTACAATATTGCACATGTGAAAATTTGTCAGCTAATGCCTCGTTTTAGGACTCGACTTTTAGACACAACATCGTATAATGAACTTGTGATCAAATTCAACAGAGAATTGAAATGTCTGCTGGTACAGAAAACGAGTGTGCAATATTGGAAGCTTAAAAATATTAAACACTCTAAATTTCCGATATTTTGTGATGGCGTTCACTTTAACGAAGAACATGGGATGATGATATACTATAGGAATCTACGTGGGGCAATATTGCACTCCTTGAAGGCTATCCAAAAGTGATGGCATGTTACCTTCACCATATTCATGTTATGAGATAAGTTTTATTTTAATTTTAATTTTTGTAGTAATTATGCATTCAAGATACATGTACTTGAATTTTGAATATCGATGTCATACCAAAAAATATTATGGTGTATAGAGTGTAGAACATTTTACGATAGCTGCTAGTCATTTGATGCACATGGCATCGTTTTAGTGATCTGTCACTATATATGCACTGTGATATGTCACAGTAGAAACGGCTTCTGCTCATTTTGATGCACATGGCATCTTGATGTTTGCGATATGTCGCTATGAGCTGTAATATGTACAGCTGAGCAGTTGCTTTTATGTTATGGCTAGCAGCTTATATGTGTGAAGTGTCGCTACACGCTGATGTATGGTACACCTGAGAATTATGCTCAAGTGTAAATGATCTGGCGCTTTGGCTATTTCTTGATTATTTTCCTTGTGATCTGTCATTATAGCTTATGGTTGGCCTCAGTGAATTGACTGGTATTGAAACTTTTGCACTCTTAAGTATTTGGGTGTCCTTGGTTGTCTATGGCACCATAAGGCTTGGGAAAATTATTTCCATTAGAAGCTTAATTTGGCGATCAAGGGCATTTTAATACTTAAAATTTTTTCATGTTAATATGCAAAGTCAATTCAACATGTATATAGGCAGATAAGGTATTGAACTATGAGTGTCTTCATTCTTAAGACAGGTGTCTCGTTTTGTAGGCCAAAATATGCCACCCAAAAAGAAAAGACCAAAGAGCACTACAACCGGGAACACACCATCCTCTGAGACTTCAGGCCCGGCAAAACGTCGAAAGCAGACAACATCAGCCTCTGTTGACATTGCCGAGCAGGTGAACAACGCTATACAATTAGCCCTGCCAAAAATCACTCAAGCGGTCCTTTCGGCAATGAATGATAAGAGCGAGGAGCACACAGTTAAAGCTCCAGAGGTGCCTCAGGAATTACCAAGCACGTCCACGGAGCCGCTTTCCCAGGCTAGCGATGGTAACAGTTTTTCGCTAATACATACATCAGACAGTATTTCTAAACCCTTATCACTCGGGATTGACGCAAAAACAAAAGCAAAAATTTGGGCAAATGAATTTGTAGAGTTTGGGTCATTACTCAAGCCAAGTAAAAAAAACGTAAAATTCTCTGTAGAAGAAAAAGATGAAGGTTTGACTTTTGTTAAGGAAAACAATCCATGCAAAATTGAATCCGTCCAACAGTGGTTGGCAGCCTTTCATATTTTCGTCAGCATTTTTTGTGAAAAACATGTAAACGAGGTATCAAAATTAATGAAATATGCCAATATTGTCCAAAAGCTGGCTGATCAGTCAACTGCTTCGGCAGCAATCAATTACGATAAAACTTTTAGACAATGGAGAGAAATTTCTCCTGGGGAGCTTCAATGGGATCGCGTTAACATTGAATTGTATCAGGAGGCCTTAGCTGCCGGTTTACAAGCAAAGTTTAAATCAACATATCAGAAAACTACTTTTCGTCCCTTCACAAATATCAAGGGAAAAGGGGGTTACACAAAGTCATTCTGTTTCAATTCAACAACTCCGAGCAGGGAATTTGCAACAGAAAGGAATGTAAATTTTCCCATTCTTGTCAGCTCTGCGAGGGAGAGCACAGTAGAAAGGTCTGTCCCACGTCCCTCAAATCAAGCGCAAATGCTAAAGGAAGACAAAGAGTTAGCAGTAATCATGGTCCGACAGAATTTACAAAGTCCACATCCAAATCAACAAAATAAAAATTTTGAAATTGTTACCCCAGTTAACCCTGATAGGTTACATGTATGGCTATTAAATTACGATATACCTGATAGGGAGTTTCTGGTCTTAGGTTTTAGAGAAGGATTTAAAATACCTTTTCAGGGTAAAAGACATCGCAGACTTAGCGACAATTTAAAATCCGCTAAGCAACATTTAGACATTCTTCAAGAAAAAATAAACAAAGAATTAGCCTCTGGTCGAGCTGCTGGTCCGTTTCAAGAACCACCATTTACTAACTTTCAAAGTTCGCCCTTAGGCTTAGTGCCCAAAAAGCAACCTGGCGAATTCCGGGTTATCCATCATTTGTCATACCCAGAAGGTCAGTCAATTAATGACGGAATATCTCAAGAATTCTGTTCCATCAAGTATCAGACAATTGACGACGCGGTTAAAATTCTTAAAAAGTATGGCAAGGGGGCTTTATTTTCGAAGACTGATATTGAGAATGCATTTAAAATCATTCCTGTTCATCCTTCAGATCACGAATTACTAGGCTTCACGATAGGAAGTTATTATTTTTTTGATAAAACTCTACCCATGGGTCTTAGTTATTCCTGTAATCTCTTTGAGAAATTTAGCTCATCACTTCACTGGGTTATGGACTATCATTACAATGCTTCCTGTGTACATGTTTTAGATGATTTTCTTTTCATTGGTCCAGCCAACACAAATCAGTGTTTAAATTCGCTGGAAAACTTTTTGAACCTGTGCAAAGATATAGGAGTTCCCATTAAATCTGAGAAAACAGTATATCCCACAACAACAATTACATTTTTAGGTTTAGAATTTGATTCAGAAAAAATGGAATTAAGATTGCCAGATGACAAGCTTCTCAAATTGCAAGAAACACTAAATAGTTTCAAAAGGAAGAAAAAAGCTTCACTACGCGACTTACAGTCTCTTATTGGCTTGTTAAACTTTGCATGTTCTGTTGTATTACCTGGCCGCACATTTCTCAGACGACTGATAGATCTCACCAAAGGTTTAAGATTACCGCACTTTAAGAAGTACTTGAATAAGGAAGCTAGGGCTGACCTTGAGGCCTGGTCAATTTTCATTAACCATTTTAATGGCAGATCCTTAATTTTAGAAGATAAATGGATTACTTCTGGAATATTATCCCTCTATACAGATGCAAGTGACCTTGGTTTTGGGGGTACTTTTCAAACGAACTGGTTTTTTGGGAAATGGCCTGAAAAGTGGCGCCAGCTACACATTACAGTCAGGGAACTTTTTCCTATTGTACTGGCCTTAGATTTGTGGGGCCCCGTCCTGCAAAATTCCTGTGTTAATTTTTATTCTGATAACATAGCTGTAGTGTACATTATTAACAAACAAACTTCTACTGATCCAACTATTATGAAATTAATGCGGCGTTTTGTCGTCAAGACAATGCAGTTTAACATTTTATTTAAGGCAAGTCATGTCCCTGGTGTACTTAACGTTGCTGCAGATAAACTTTCTCGCTTACAGGTACAAGAATTCAAGGAGGGGTTCCCATCTATGAATCCAATGCCGACACCAATATCTCCAACAATGCTCAACCTTTAAAGAACCTAGCAGACTTCATTTTGCAGAGTTCACTTTCTAAAGCTTCTAGGTCATCATACGATAGAGCTTTTACATGTTATAAGTCCTTCATGTTCAACCAATATCCAAACGTCCCCATCTTACCACCATCATCTCAACATGTCGCACTTTTTGTAGCCTTTTGTTTTCAATCCAACATGGCGACGTCGACCTTGAAAAGTTATCTATCAGCTCTAGGATATATATTTAAATTAAAGGGCTATCAAGACGTAACACAGCTTTTTGTAATTCGCAAAATGCTACAAGGGTATGAAAAGTTAAAACCAGGTACCGGGGATACGAGGCTGCCTATAACACCGTCTATTCTAAGAAATTTAGTTGACTCGCTTGATCATTTAGGTATCTCATTTTACCAGCGCAGCATGCTAAAATCAATGTATTTGTTGGCCTTCCATGCCTTCTTAAGAGTGGGGGAAATAACTATCACATCTCGACATCACAGAGGTAATGTTTTGCTACTGGAAAATGTTAAGCTTGTTCGAGACGAATCAAACACACTAGAAGGCCTAGAAATAAGACCTGATTCTTTCAAGCACAGTTCCGGCCGACATATTCCCACCTTGTTTCTACAGGCTAGTAATTCCGATGAAGGGCTCTGTCCAGTGCAAGCACTATTGTCATTTATTACACTAAGGGGTCAAGTCATGGGTCCCCTTTTTTCTTACCCTGATGGTCATGGAATCCAAAGGCAACAATTTACAAACTTTCTACAAATGTCTTTAAAGTGGTCGGGTCTCGATTCTAAACTCTATAAAACTCATAGTTTTCGAATTGGTGCGGCAACGTCAGCGGCCGAAATGGGTATTTCAGATGAAAAGATTAAACAGATGGGACGATGGCATTCCGACGCATACAAGAAATACATACGCATACCTGTTTTGAAAATCTAAATATTTTCTGCAGTAAGTATAATCATGGGGACAGGGGCCTCTGATTATGCACTAAATATCAACACATACTACGATCAGCTGGTTTTTGGACATAGCGAATATAAGTTTCCAGATTTATATTTAATTTCCCTTTATAGCATGGACTGTTTTGAATTTTAAACCTAGGTCATGGGGACATGGGCCTCTGACTTAACCTTATAAATATAGCATGGAATGTTTTGATTTTCAAACTTGAGTCATGGGGACAGGGGCCTCTGACTTAACCTTACAAATAAAGGATGGACTGTTTTGATTTTTCGAACTTACACGTAAGTCATGGGGACAAGGGCCTCTGACTTAACCTAATGGAGGTACAACTGCGTTCATTTTTCTTCGACATTAAGTCACGGGGACATGGGCCTCTGACTTATTCGCCTGGTTGTGTTTATATAATGTATAATATGTTTGTTTATTCCGGTTGGCTGTAATAGTGATGTTAGAAACTTTGATGAAATATGACAGAGGATCGTGAACTTAATTATAACGTATTATGGACACTGCTGGTTAATGGAGCTTGAACGAGATCCTTCTATCACTTATAAAGGAGTATCTTGACCATCTTTGAAGAAACTGTGTGGTATTTATGTTTGTGCATTAATATTAACAATTCATTAGAAGACAATAGTTTAAGGATGGGGTTTATTGCGTTTATGTAAACACAATAATGTGGCGAATTTTTATACCCCACCTTTGATATCTATTGAAACAAAATTGATTATATTTTCAATTGTTCAATTTTTCTGATTCTGCATTATATGTTTATATGCATGATATTTTGTGTTTTTTCATACAGTCATTTATAATGTAAATAAATGGCATTTTTCAATTCACTTAATCTTAATTTTGTTTCTTCATATCAAACAGAGTTAAACTATTGTCAGTGGGTTTACATAAATATTTAATTTACATCCTTAAATTAATTTATGTAAAACATCTGACACGGCAGACCCATGCTAGCAATTAAGTTTCTTAATCGCAAAATTTCTTATCCGTTAGATTAAAGCAATTCTCGAAGATCTTTCTGTAAATTGGTATGATTTATATTCTCGGCCGTCGGATGCTAAGATATGCGCGCGGGTTCTCACGCCTTTCACCATTCCCTCACAGAACCTTGTCAGTGAACGCGCAAGCAAAAATTCTGCTGTAATTTTAATTGCCCTCCGTCCCGCCCCAACACCATCTGTAATTATTGCCGTGTCAGCATAGTTATCTTTGATTGGTTTTGTATGATACATATTCTTTTAGAATAGTTTTTTATGTTTATGTTTTAATTTGCTAAATATATGTACGATTGTGGTGTTTGCGAATTTTTATACCCCACCTTTGATATCTATTGAAACAAAATTGATTATATTTTCAATTGTTCAATTTTTCTGATTCTGCATTATATGTTTATATGCATGATATTTTGTGTTTTTTCATACAGTCATTTATAATGTAAATAAATGGCATTTTTCAATTCACTTAATCTTAATTTTGTTTCTTCATATCAAACAGAGTTAAACTATTGTCAGTGGGTTTACATAAAAAATATTTTAGTGCCAGCACACTTAAAAGATGAAAAAAATGAAATCTAAATTAACATGATAATTATTCGCACTTAGAGATAAAAAAAGATGCTTAACCTTTTGGACTAACCAAAGAAGTCTTACTATATTAAAATAAGCGGAACATCTTTCTAATGTATATCCAATCAACGTGTTAAGATTCATTAAACATTCAGATTTAGAATTACAGTGTACTTTACATACAAACACAGGCATTACAGGCATGAACTCTGTCTTGATATTACTTATGAAATATCACTTGAACTGATCTTCAAATTTGCTGTTGGTATATAATATACTGCATTTCAAGAGTCTGATTAGTTCATTTAAAACAGTCAAAAATGTCACATTCGCCTTAAACACTACATCTGAGGCCACTCCACATTTTTGTATTCTTTTTCTAGGGCTTCTCTTAGTTCCTCTGAGTGAGCTTTATCTTTCGTCTCTACGACGCATTTCACCTGCACAGTCAAATATGTAGTTATCTTTAATAGCCAGTTTATATGTACCCGAGTCCATTGACTCAGTTTACATGTACCTGAGGCCACTGCTTGCAATCCCTCTCCCGACTCAGGGTTAAAAAAAGGGTCTGTAGGTAGGCAACAATTATTTTCAAGAACATTTCAACAACATTGTTGAATTTTCAATTTTTTTTTTCCCGAAATACATAAAAAAAATAATTGCTTCCTGGAAGTTAAGTTTTGCTTGGCCATTTTAACAAGTCGGTCGGGAGAAGGACATCTGATTATTTTTCAAGAGTGCCTGATGTTTTTTATTGTATATATGTTAGAATATAAAACACGAAATAGATTTAATAAAATATCAGATGAAAACGATCCTACATTATGCATTTTTAACTTTTGTGAAATAGCCAAAAAGTAATATTTAGTGCAATATACGTGTTAGATGTCTTTGTCTCTTTATTTAATTACCTGAACTGAAAATACATCTGATTTCAGCCATGCTCTTTCATGAAATATATCATGGATGCTGCAAATAAAGAAATTTAAAAAAAAATTTATCCAGCATATATTATTATAAATGACATGTTTATTATCTCTGATATAGATAACATAACTGATTTTAAACTACTAGTATGTATTATTATGACATGCCCTTGCTTTATCTATCGTATATGTTTATCTTATCATAGTGCATACATGAATGAATGACAGTAAAACTTTGTATAGTTACCCGACTCCTAGGTCTGACAGTAGATTAATTAGATAAGTAATTCCTCCAGGTCGGTCTGTTACGGTCACCTTAAATCTAACAAAACGTCCATCAGAAGCGAGCCCACGTTCTATCACACGACCCAGGACCGGAGTGTCAATGTTTCCACCACACAGTACCACTACCACCCTATTTACAAATGCCATAACAGTATTAATTAACTATATGCACATAGTATTCATCTTTGTTATACCCTTATACATAGCTTTCCTTACATTTATTGCTTGTAAAAAGTCCAACAAAAGAAATGTTTATTACATCGGTCTAACAATTTCACTGTTGACTGGCCTGCCGGGCCAACATAAGAAGTGTTAGTCCGCAACGTCACTGCTAGGTTAAAAATAATTAATCATCGTTTAGTATCGTGGACACGGAAATAGCCGAAGTTAAGAACAGCAAAAGTTGTTGCTTCCATTAAGGTAAGGAAGAAGGGAAGAGTATGTTTTGTGATAAATAATTTTTGTGATGTAATAAAAATATAATTATTTTTGTTCTTTCTCAACTATGTTTTATATTTACTGATAAAGCCATAATATTCCATATAAAGAAATTGATAGTATAGTGAGTATTGATTAAATCTTAAGTGAGCACTGAAGGGTATATCGGCCTCGGGCAACATTTTCACCTTCAGGAGCAACAAATCAAATGTTGCCCTCATTCCCAGTCAATAACTGTATAATGTTTCTAGGTAGATCAAATTTCAGGAAATATTTTGTTACAATGTAAAAATATGACGATAACAAACTGTAATCACTCTTATGACTAATTCTGTAGTGATTTATTTAGTTATCAGTGCACCAAAGTATCCGTTTCAAAGTTTAAATTTTATTCAGGATTTATGCTTAGGCCTAGAAAAAAAAATATGTTTGTTTCCTGTAACCCGACCGACCTATTCAAATTATCCCAGGGTGGATTTTTTTTTCTGACAAATGGCAAAACTTCGTTTGATCAATCAGCTGATTCCATTTATTAAATTTAAAAAAATAGCTTGTAGCTTAATTTGAGACATAAAATATGTCAAAATATGTCAACTTAGTGTACATTTACCTTAAATAATATGTTTTACGGTGTGACCGTTGGGGCGAGCGCAGTTGTACCATCAAAAACACTTGAGATCAGCCACTTCGAACGTCAAGCCGCACGAGATATCTCGACTAGCTGTGACGTCATACGACGTCACAAAGCTCGTCGGAGCTTACGGAGACAGCCGAGCGTCTGTTTGAAACTATAGAACTAGTGCAATTTTTGTCGAAAAACATTGCAGAGTTATTTCTTGTTTCTTTGAAAGATTTCTACAAACTGAAAGTCTGTTATATGCTTTACGTTATTATTTATTTATTTATTCGGCAATATTCGCGCAAAGGACATTGGGTAGTGCAGGAATTCTGGGAATGTTGCACAGAGAAATTTGGCTGACGTATGTACAGATTTCAATCCGAATTTCCTCTGTTCTTAAACGTTAGTCTATTGAGCTCGCTTCGCGAGCGTCGCTTCGCGACGCTCGCTGCGCTCGCTATAAAGAGTAATCATTATTGTAACAACAGTTTCCCCCTACAACTTTCTGAAGTTTGTTTTCTGCCGCTTGGCAGCCATTTTGGATGCCATACTGGGTGTCCACTGTAAATATAACACCTGGTATTTTCGGTCCGGGGATGTTTGACCATTCATAAGCAAAAAAAAAAAAAAAAAAAAAAAAATCCGACCTACCGACCCTTGATTTTTTGGGAATGTTACAGGAAACAAACTTATTTTTTTTTAAGCCTTATTAAATGGTATTTATCATCTGACTTTTTTTCTGCCAACTCCGGAAGTAGTCCTTCTATAATGGCGGCCAGTCCTGCTGCGCCTGCGCCTTCCACAATAGCTTTCTCTATTTCAATCAGACGCAGGATAGCAAGATCTATATTCTCTTCCCTACAAATGAAATAACTTTGATTTATTTTTGAAATTCAATTTTAAATATGAATTATCAGCCTAATTTAAATTTGACCTTTCAACTCACTGTTCGTATTTTTATGCCTTTCACGAGCGACAAATAAAATGTGCGAGAACGAGATGAAGGGTCTGATTCCAATTAAAATGAAGTTTTATTTGAACTCGCTTCATTATTTGATTGAGATTGTATTTTCACTTACTTCACTGTAATCATTTTGTCAATCAATTCATTGGCTGTAGCAAAGGCATTCACTCCAACTGTTGGTACAGCCAAACCTAATTACAATGTTTTGGTCAATGATTGTATAGTGCAAAGCAATTTAGGATTCTGTTCAGTTGTATGCAATTAATTAGAATTGAATTAATTGGTGAGAACTTTTATAAAATTCGAAAAAATCATTAACTTCGTACCATCTGCGATAGAGGAGATAACTTCAACTTTTGTTGGTTTTCCCATCTCTCTTGCTTTGGAGAAACTAGGACATCTTTCCGCCTCGACTCCCTTTAATTATTTACCACAATATTATTCGATGGTTAAATCTTAGTATAGTATAGCATATAGTAGATTAGAGTAGAGTAGAGTAAAATAGAGTATAGCATAGCATAGCATAGTATAGTATAGAATAGTATAGTATAGTATAGTATAGTATAGTATAGTATAGTATAGTATAGTATAGTATAGTATAGTATAGTATAGTATAGTATAGTATAGTATAGTATAGTATAGTATAGTATAGTATAGTATATATAGTATAGTATAGTATAGTATAGCCTTTTATTATCTATTTTCAGTGTTTGTGGAAGAATATGATTAAATGCTATTCTTACAATGATTTTAACATTTGGTTTGAGGTGCTTTAGAGCCACGGCCGCCCCCGCAATCAGCCCTCCCCCGCCAACGGGTATGACGACGGCCTCCACATCAGGGACTTGTTTCACGATCTCCAGCGCCATTGTTCCCTGCCCGGCTATGATATGAGGGTGGTCATAACTTAATAAAAAAAAAAGAGTGTGCTACATGTTAACAATCTAGTGTTTTATTTTTTTTTTATAAATTTATTGTCGATACATTCATTTATTCATAAACAATTATTATTAATTCATTATTTGAAAAAATAATGTAACCATAAACATACCCATTGATGTAAACTAGTCCTTTTTCTTTACCTTCTTTCTGTGCAAACCTTTTCGACTAAGAGTAAACAAAATAAATAAAAATAGTGCCGCGTAACCTTGAATACGTTTCTGAAGGAGTAGAGATGAATGATGCGTATACAATGCTACATTTTTCATGTAATTATAATTATTGGCTTACAAAACTACGTACGGAAGATGCTGCTAGGCGAAATGATGGACATTTAACAAAAAATGTGAAGTGTCGAAAAATTAAAAGCATATTCAATACAAAGTTATCAAGCAATTTCATTTCTTCAATTATCTAGAAATTTGTCACGAAATCATTTTAAATACTTTATGCATTCCCATAGGGAGCACAATTTGTTAACTATGTAAGGTCAATCATGGATTAAATATTTTGATAAATATTAAAATATGAATAAAAAATTATTGAAGCTTGTCAATATAACAGAGATTAAAACATACCCTAAAAGTCAATTTTCTATTTTCATTTATATAACTTTCTTATGTAAAAAATTAATAAAGAAACATTATTTCGAAACACATTTTAGCACAAGGTTCTCTTTTCAAGATAATACAAAGGTCCCTGTTCTCTCACAGGATTCAACTTCTGTGTAAACTGACCTCTGAAATATCATGCCCTTTAATTTCTACCGTGGCTTTGTAGCGTTTGCAGGCTTGTACTTTCATCATTGGTGCTATAGTGGGCATGATCACGGTCACTGGGATGTTTAAACAATAGCCATGATAGGCCAGAGCCAGAGCATGGTTACCGGCACTGGCCGCTATAACGCCTTTCTTCTTCTGCTCCTGTGGAAAACAAAAATCCCGAATAAGATCCTTATTCCTACATGTATCATATATTACCTGGAATAATGTATCCCTCTCCGATTTTTTTTATCTGATGTTTTCTGGACAGGGCTACAATTCCACAGCATCTCCGTAATGGTGCAAAAATATTTTTTAGATACGGGCGACTGCATGCAGAATAAATTGTTTTTACAATTAACCTCTAATAAGGCGAAATTTTTATTCACTGTCGACACCATAGCCCGTTAAACGCAAAAACCATGTAAAAATAAATCTGTGTGCCTTCCTCAGCAGCCATGACAGTTCATGCGTGACGTACCGAGACTTGTGCTTGAAATTTAGAAAAACTCAATAAAGCAAATGTCGATGTTTATAAATAAATGTGATGAATAGTAACAGCAAACATTGATGAATAAAATGTGTTATTTTTTCGTAAACAGAGATATTTTGGCTTAAAACAAGGTAACTCCAAAGAAATCCGCTCCCTATAAATCCATAATCTCTTTTGCTGTCCCAAAATAAAATCTGTCTAGGACAGTAAACATGGTGGATAAATTTAAGTTGCGATGTTGACATACACGAAAAATTCATGTACGGATATATGGATTGTTCTGCATATTTTTGGATCGATTTATGTCTTGGATAACTACATTTTGGAAGTCCAGGTAAGACATATAAATAAAATATCCGTTTACTAACAATTTGAGCTGAAATCCGTGCGGGAGTGAATCGCTGCCGCATTGCACCATTAGGGAGATCCTATGGAGTTGTAGCCCTCTCCCCCAAAAAAGAGAGAGGGCTACATTATTGCAGGTAGTATCATATTGAAATCAAACGCATATATAGTGGATTACAATTATATATAAAATTAAATATTTCGAAGACTTTGACTTCATGTTTTGAAATAGATACATTTTATGAAAATACAAACACGTCTTTATATTACAGGAAATTAAAAAATAGAAACACTTATTCAATCTTTACTTGTCCATTGCAGTTTTATTTAAGATATGCAAAAGGGAGAATATCATTTTTTTTACATATAACATAGATATGAAGGAAAATGTTGCTTTACTTCATTAAGCATCATAAGAGAATATCTTGCTCCTCTTTCTTTGAAACTGAAATAGAAAATTCACATAAATGGGCAAAATATCCTAAAAAAGTTCTAACTTATCATAACGTACGAAAAGATAATTTGATTTTTTCCACAATGGCAAAAAAAAATATTTTGAAAGTTGAATGAAAATCTGTATGCTGACATAATTTTATCATAAAGGTTTTATTACACACAAATTGATCATAATAATATATTTTATCAGCAATTCAAAATTTCCAAAAATACAACTCATAGTACTTTAAGCAACAATTTCAGGTCTATAATTTCAAAATATTACGGTACATGTTATGTAGCAAATACAGTACCTCCCTGTCCGCTGTTGAAATTCTTTCTTGAAGTAAACTTCCTTTACATTCAGTATTTCAGACATTCTAGATTTCTAAAAATAAAAAAAAATTACTAATTATGCAAATATACTGGGAGAGAGAGAGAGAGAGAGAGAGAGCGAGAGAGCGGAATCTGTTGAATCCAGACACATTCTCTGGGAATGGAAGAATATTGTCATCCATTTGTAGAAGGTAAGCAAAATTGCCAGGATGAACGAATTCCGACTGTTTTGTACATAAAATATAATATGTATGTCTTACAGCACAAGGGCTAAGGAGGTCGTCCTTGATAACATCTGAAGCTGCCTCAACATCCTTAAAGGTAACCTTTTTGGGGTTGTCTGGGTCACAAAAAGGGTCTAAAATTTCTTCAACCATCATTGGGTCTAAACTTTCTTGTTCCATCATATGATATTTGACACTTTGAGACACTCCTCGGTTTTTACTCTGTTTTCTTTAACTGCCTAAAAAATAAAAAAAAAAATTGCATTTTTTTTAGAAACAGGCCTTTAAAAAGATATACATGTACATGTAAGATATACATGTACATGTAGTAGCTACATGTGTACTAGTATTTATTTATTCCTTCTCTTTTTTGGGGGTGTAACTCCCAACAAATTTAAAGAAAAAGAGATAACGATAAATTGTACATACTGTGTTTATTAGGAAACATCTCAATCAAAATCTAAAAGAATAAGTTTAATGTGCTTGTATCGTCTTCCGACAGGACTAATGCAATTTTAAAGGAAGGAGAGTCATAGAAAGAAAAGCAAATATGTTCAAACGTACCATACAATCATTGATGGGAAAATGCTGTTTCGGTCACTTAATTATCACCGCGTTTCAGTTCTTTTAAGAAGTCTTGAAATTGATATCCAAAACATTCTGTTCTACTTCAGCCAACGTTATAGTATTGGATACCGTATAGTGGGTTATTTTAGCGGGCTGCTAATTTTTTTTTTTTTTTTTTTTTTTTTTTTTTTTTTTTTTTGCGTCTTGATGAAAGTCCGCTAAAATATTTAATCGCTTGAATAGTCAGTACTCTTAGTGTCTATCTGCAAAGAGCTGAAATCATGCGTCAACAAAATTATTGACAAACCTTTGAGCAGACAAAACGCCAAATTTTACACCCGCCAAGTTAACCCCTATACGGTACATATCGTTAGTGGAGATCATCTTTACATATGGGATTGTAATCCCACTGTGGGATGAGATGCATTAACTGAAGAAAGTGAAAAAAGCCCTCTCTGCTCAATGGCTCGGCACTGGGTGCCGATTAGAGGTTTAAATTTGCAGCCCTTCATCAGCAGGTGTAAGCGTATCTATCTGAGTGTATGGACGTTTAACAAAAGAAAAATTAACCAGCCTTCCTATTCAAATTTATGCTTATTTTATGATTATTTTTACTATTTATTAGCAATTTCTCAATGTTAAATTTCCTCTGTCTTTTAATTTTTTTCATGAACCCTTACAAGTGATTACATTTGAGTTATCCTAAGCAAAAAAAAAAAATGAATTTCCTTTAATTTAGACTTAGACACATATGAGTATTAGCATGATATTTAATTAGAAGTAATTTTAAATGTTTTGTAATGATCGATAGGAAAAGCTTTATACACAAAGCATTAATTTTGAAAATGAATGAAGCTAGTAAACAGAAGAAAATAATTGTAAAGTACCGTCTAAGTATAAAAATCATGCTATTTTCTTCAAAAGCCTAGATACCTACAATTTTTTTTATCCTAAAATGAAATTGTTGATAAACTTTCAATGAGAAAATGCATAGTATAAAATAATCAAATTTAAAGATCGATGTTTGAAGAATTACTGTGGTTAAAACGCATTAATCTGGGAGTTTTTGGTCATTTTGTGGGCATTATTTTTTTTATTAAGCGCCTGATTTTCAGAACCTGAAGATTGGATTACCTTAATGAGAAATATTGAAAATCAATGGATAGGTTAATATACAAGTAGTTAGCAATTATAACATTTTACGTTTCACGGATGTTGCAGATTAGCAGACTTTGAAACCCATCTCTGTCCTGCAGGAGAATTTGGTGCATTGTCTGAGTATAAAAATATGACAGGATTATTTTTCAAAGTCATCATTAACCATCGCTATTTTTAAACATAATTTTAGCCTTCCTCAAGTTAAAACTAGATCATTCTCAGAGTATGACTTTAAAGAATCATATGCGTTTGGAGACTTACACATACTTTTTTGTTTGTTGGCATGTATGTTGTTTAAGGTCCCTCTCGAGAATTTTTCACTAATATGGAGACGCAACAACTTTCTGGTGGAGAGCTGCAAATTTTGTCCTATTCTCAGCACTGACGACCATTGAGCAGTGAGGGATCTGTTTCGTATGTAGCGGCACCTACCCCGACACGGGACATCGTTTTATACCGTTTAATCTAAAGGACCGGCCTCCACGTCCCAAAGTAGGATTCGAACCCGCGACGTAGGGATCAACTCCGTACTCTGCGACTCTAGAGCAGACGCTCTAAATGGGTCACCGCGCCACTCAGGCGCACATCATTTTGAAGTTTGAAGATGGAAATGTCATATCGATTGTCATTCAGTTAAGTTCATAGTTTGCTATTTAACATCAATAGTTAGTGAACCACCCAGATATGAAACAGATTTGGCAACTGTTTTCTTCTTCTCATGTAGAAATCCTTTTGCTTCAAGGTAATGAAAAACACTACTCGAATTGAATAATTCTATTTCTTTACATTTTTTACGAATAAAAAAGCAAAATGTAGGAACATTGGCGTCCATTTGTACATGTACTCAAACTCATTGTAAGACGATAAGGACCCAGGATCATGAACCAGGCTTCAAATGAAATAAATGTTATGTTTACTTTTTCTCTACAACTACAGTTTGACATGCGACAGTTTAATTTGTTATAGAGTTTGTCGACAAAAATGTATGAAATGTTTGTAAAATTACCTATTATGTGTAAACATATGAACCAAAGTTCCAATATAAGAAATAAGATCTATGCACTTCAAGAAATGTATTCTTAATATCCTTGTTACAAAAGAAATGAACTCCAAAAAAGTTTTTTTTTGAGCGGCTTTTAAAAAAAAAATAATTAAGTGTTGATTAAACATGATGTAACCATGAAATAGGTCTGAGGTTATGACAATTTTTACCTCAAAAACTGACGAGTGACAAACCTTAATTTATCAACCGTAAACTGAAAGAAGTATAGAATTTAACTACCTTTCATACCCACCGTATTTGCAGACAGACAGGAAAATAAATGAATTTCAATATATACAGCTGTATACCCGTTATAATGACTTAATTCTACTAAAAAATAAAAATGCAAGCATTGACATGAAAGAAAAAGGGAAAACGAAGAGATTCGATGTCAACATACCCTTAAAAATTTTGTTTCTCCTTTTAAAAAGATTCAAGTTTTCACACGAAGCAGATTGCTTATATCTTATCTCTCAGGTAAATTATACATGAGCCCATGGCATCATTTTCTTCACTGATAGAACTGCGTAATTTATTCTTTGCATAAACGTGAACACGTCATTGAAACCCCTGTACTTTCGTAAAAGTGTTCATGGCTATCAATCAAAACGTTTCCGAGAAAGTGCATGCACAAACTGGTTTGAAAAAAATACAAGTAAATGAGTGCATCAAATGATAATATGTATAAGGTTTTCCGGCCATTTTTCGAGATAGAGGCAAATTATTATGACGTGCCGAGTATGCTGATTGACAGAAGGGGCTGCTATCTGTCTTCCAGCTGGGTGATAATGAGTAAAAGAAATTTGTGATTAAAGACTACATCCTATTTTACTTGACGTGGCATTTTGATCATCAAAAAGTACTTGAATCTTTTGCAAAACTTTTGAAACCAAATAATTTTCTTCAACATAAAATTTAAAAGTTAATACAACTTTGACGAACAATAATTCTATATATTCAAACAATGTATAAAAGATATATGCGTTCATATATACACCTATTTTGAAAACGTGTAAAATAAATTTGGATTTTTTAAATAAGTCGGAATTTTTTATATACCTTATTGCAAAATATAACAAAAGTACATGTATTTTAAAGCAGAATATCTCTTCGGAAAGAGCATATTCATGAATCAAGGCAGTATTCAACATCGATCTCGATACAAAATTACGTATGTGTCACTTCCCCTTCGCACAGGTCACCCTCAAACAAATGCAAACATAATATGCATTATAATATTCCCTCAAAATCCATGTTAAGAGGGAAAAAAAGCACAAACATTTGACGCTACCATTGGAATAGAATACTTCAGTAGCGTAATAGACATCTATCATTATAAGTATAATTAATCATATTTAAGGTTATATTTTGTGTTGTGAAGTACACCCACTAAAATTGATAATTCACAGAAGTCTCTGAAAATAAAAAAAACATTAAAAGAGAAAAGTAAATCTAAAATTTTCGCATCTCACTCAACAGTTTAAGCAGATTTTGAGATGACTAAGGCTCTCCGAAATTATTTGGGGGGGGGGGTCACTGGTCTGTTTTTGGAAAGATAATTGTTGTTTAAACGGCGTTATTCAGTCTGTACTGTGCTAAATTAATCGATTGCTTAACATCCGCTGATGACATAATGTGTACCTTGCCTCTTTTATCCTTTGCAATTACCTGTAGAATGTTTTGATATCATATATAAAACAGCCATTATGAACTAAGCGATAGTTCAAGATTAGATTTAAATATTGTATCAATAATGAATGACATCTCTTCTGAAGTTTTTATATAAGGCATCTATCTGAGACCTCAGACAAGTTAAACGTGGATTTTTTTAATTCGCTTTTTGTATGACCAACATTTTTTGAAACGGTCAATCGTTCAGAACGTCTTAACGTTAACCGAATGGATAGTCAGCCTTATTTGAAATAAATTTTCGATTTCAATTAAAGCCATTTAAAATTAACAAAACTATTGTTATAAAAGTGTGCTAACACGGTTTGGATTGCCTTTTCGTCGATATACTAGTACCTGAATTGGTAAATTGTAGATGTTCACAGTTAAAAAAAAATATTCAACACACATTTTTTTTTAATTTTGATCACAGATTTCCCAATTACTCTTATTGCAATGAACGAATATCAACAAATAATCTTAAAACTACTTAATGTACTTTTAAAAATATATCAAGTTTACACTCGAAGGAAAGATCGTGCATATAACTACGTAATAATTTTTTATCTCTTCTGTAAATCTTGCATAATGTTCCATGACTTCTTTGTGTACATTGATTTAGCTTTTAAGTTTCAATATCTGCACCGACTTTTTTCTTGTCTCATATTATGCAATGCAAATCTATTGAATCGAAACTTCGTCGTCTCAGTGTTAAATCGATCAATTAATCCTATTGAACACTAAAGATTTATGTATTTTTATTTCAGACAAAGCGCGCTTTTTAGGTGACAAATATTTAGGTTTTTTTTTTTGGTCCTTCAGTATCTTAATACATCAGTGCTTTTAAAAATATTTAATCGATATTCAAGCAAATAAATTCAATTTCAGTTCCTTAACCAGTAAATTAAATGACTATAATAGTTACAGGATAAATCTCCAACACTCAGCATACGGAATAGTCTTTGAAAACTGTAAAATCAAACATTATCATGGAAAAAAATTTTCGTGCCTTAATGAATTTTTTTTTTCTTTTTTAGCTTAAAAAATGTTGAAAATAAAGGCAAATGCTTTTTTTTTTAAATTCTGTAATGAATATGAATTTATGGGTCTAATTATTTATTATTTACGAGTAAGTCGTAAGCAACCCATAGAAAAGTTTATATAAAAAACTGATCATTTATTAGGCACCACCAATGTATATATGTTAAAGCTTTTTTTTCTTCCACAACTTCATTGTATTTAACAGACAAGAATATGATCGATCCCGGACCTAATCCTTGTGATTGTGTTTCATTTATTTTCTCACGGTCTTTTTTTTATAATTATATAATTTGAAAACAACAAAAAGGTTGAGTAGCCTCTAATTACTCTCTGAAGAATTCGTTTTCTACTTTATAGAATTTTACGGATTTTATGGAAAATATCCTATTTACAGTGAGAGAAACAGTTTATATATGAGTTCTCATTGTAACTTTGAATGTTTTTGTCATTGATTTCTTTGAGGGAAAGTTTTCATCAGGATTTTTTTTAATCGTTTGCGTATAAGATAATGAATAAATGTCAACATAACACCGCAATTGATTAAAGATTAAAGTAAAGGAGCGAAAGTAAATGCATAAAAATATCTTGTCCTTCTAGAAAAATGTTGAAAGGGTTCCTTGACAACTTGGTCTAAATAAATATTACTTTTAAATTTCCAGATTTGTACAGACATGTTTTTTCTCGGTCACATGGAATTTTTCCCTGGCCGGATAATATGCAAATAAATCAATGTTAAATTTAACCTTGTTGTTTCAGTAAAATATATTTCAAAGCTTTCTTTCGAATAAAATAGAAAAAAAAATAATGATTCTATTTAAGAGCAAAACGGATGCGCAAAATTGCTGTTCTTGATAATTTTTACCATGCAGTATGATTTAAAATAATACTACTGAGGAAAAACTCAGTCTTCAGAAACATTTTCTGGTTAATTAAATATAGATTATGCTTTTGTGTTAGAAAATGTTATGGTTTGAATAGAGACTTTTGTATCATTTACAACAAATTAACGTCCTCAATATCGACCTAGTAGATTACAAGAACGCATTTAAAAACAAAATGAAAGTAAAAAAGAATAATTAGAAAGACAAAAGTATTTTAAGATCTGATCAATGAATAAATTGTTTGCAGTTCATGCATAGCTGATAAACACAGACTTTTTTCAAATTTAGACAAAATAATATTGAATGTCATTTTCTTCATTCGTGTCGGAAAGCAGAAAAGGCCTAAATGGTAGATCGATTCATTTGTGGTTGGATTGAGAGTAACCAAGTGTAACTTTGAGGTCAAATTTCGACTATTCGGAAAAAGTTTTATTCTCTTTTTTTCTCAACCTTCATTATTTTTCAGGAAACCTGCATTATTTTTTTGAGGAAACCAAAAAGACTCGAAAAAGAATTGTTCAGAGAACAATTAGAAGCCTTTCAGCAATTGTGGATAATTGTTTATTATATTATTCTAGACTATATGAGAAGGTGTAAGAAAATAAATGAAGCACTATTCTTTACGAATTGACATCGGGATCGATGATCGTACTTTTTGTTTATTACAAAATATACTGCGTAGTAGAATTAGCTTTGGGTAACATATCAATAGGTGCATATAAATAAAGATCGATTTTCTGATCAGATAAACTTCTTGTTTGAGTTGTTTTGAATGAATTACTGTAATCAATTTAAAGTCTACGAAGTACACTAGAACTGTAGTAGTGGGAAGCATGGGAATTTAAAGATTTCGTTTGGATTGACTGAATAGTCTGAAATGCATTGTAATAAGTAATTTCAAATAAGCATTTGTTTTGGATGAATTAATGCAAATGATACATGCATAAATTAAATCCAAAACATGCAATTGAAGACAAAGAAGATGTAAATGAAAGCAGGAAATTAAGTACGGAGTCAAAACTAGTTATGATAAAACTTTTAGAGAGAAGCTCTCAAGCAATTTTTCATAATACATATATACATATTGATCCAACCTCTTTCAAATATATTTTTAAAAATATATTTAAAAAGGGATTCTTCTTATTTTGAATGTCTTTAAAATTTGACCTTGACCTTAGATTCAAGCTTATTTGCTAAAGACTCTAGAAATTGCAATTCAATGACACTACGATTCATTGTATATTTTGTATTGCAACAGTGACTTCTTTCAATTCAACGTTAACAACAAATAAATATCAAGGGATTGATTACCTTTAAAAATGGATACGTTATTTCACATTTCAATAGAATAAGACTTCCGATGAAATATTCGTAGAAGAAATGACATACTGCTATATCTATATGTATGATTTCGGTTTCGGAGAAGTAGCTTTAAGAAAACGGGTACAAAAAATATCAGCAGAACCATTTTTAAAAAGGTCTTTAAAACCAAATTAAAAAGAACTTTCGATAAATACAGAAGACCTTAATTTTTATATAATAGTGAAAAAAAAACGAACATAGAATTCAAAAAAAAAATCATACACTTAAGACGTTACACCTTGCAAAAAAAAAAAAAAAGGAAAAAAAAAAGAAATGAGAAGTTACTCAACAGAAGACACTTTTTTTTGTTAAATAGATAAAAGTTTTGAAAATAAATACTAATATAATTTAAATTCTACTGAGATATCCTCGAGAAGTTATCACTGTAATAGGATGAAATAAATTCGTTTTTGAATGAAATGCACAATTTAATAAATTGGTGCATCATAAAGGTATTTTTACATTAATTTTAAATTTTTTTCTAAAACAAAATGATTCTTTTTTTTAAGTGAATATAGTTCTATTTTTTCAAATTTGCAGACATTTTTTTTTAAAACTAACATACCCCCTTAAAAATGATTTAA